TAAATGCGACGAGATTTTATTAAAATTATCTTTAATTATAATTTGCAGCCAAACTTGTCGCCAATAAAAGTCTGAATGGATGAACTTACGGATGGGCCAAACGATGTTAGGAAGTTGGGTGCCTGTATATCGGCGGCATATAAGTCCTCCAGTGGCACATCCCGAAGGCAGTCGACAATCTGCTCGTGATGCCTGTTCAAGTCCTCGGGAATTGTGCAGTTAACCTCCTTAGCCAGCTTAATGGCGAACAGGACGGGATCCTCGACGAGAGCCCACGATGAGTATGCCGATCCAGACATCAGTATGGCGCGATGGAAGAGTCCGCGCACCATTGTGGGCGAGGTCATCAGATAATTGATGCACGCGGCGCCCGTTCCGTGACCTGCTAGGGTAACAACGTTGGGATCGCCGCCAAACTTTTGTATATTCTGCTGAATCCAATGGAGCGCTGCCATCTGGTCCATGAGCCCATAATTAGCAACACGTGCATGAACATGCGGACTGGGATTCGCATTGAGAAAGCCTGTCAGGACGACGATGACCAGGGAATTGAATTGGGGCCACAGACAGATGAATTGCAATATATATGCTTACCCAGTATTCCGAGTCGGTAATTAAGCGTCACGACCACCACTTCGCCATAGCTGGCCAGCACGCTGCCATCGTAGGGATTCCCACTGCTCCACTCGAATGATTCGCCGTGTATGAACACAATTACGGGCAGCTTCTTCTCATTGGCGCCAGCTGCTGAAACAACGGCACCAAAATGACACAGCGGCAACAAAAGCAGATTTTATGCAATAAAAAGGCATTTTTATACGTATTAGTAATGAAGCATATACCCTCTTTATGAATAACAAAAAATAAAAGTATGATTATAAATTCAGTTATTATTATAAATATGTTATTTATTCACCCACAATATATATTAGTCAGATATTATAAGAAATTTCAATTTGATTTTGTACTGCTCAAAATAATCAGCTGCATATTGAGTTTAAAATGTATTTATATGCTCACTAGAAAATACGAGCAATTTTTATTTGTATAAAATGATTCACACCATTAATTATACCCTGAACCCATTGAAAATGGGAAATCAGGGTATAATGGTTTTGTTGAAATGTATGTAACAGGCAGAAGGAGGCGTGGCAGACCCCACAAAGTA